TGTGCCTGTAGTTTCAGTTACTTGGGAGGCTGAGGCAGGAGAATCCCTTGAACCCAGGAGGTGGGGATTGCAGTGAGCTGAGATCGTGCCACTGCCCTCCAGCCTGGCGACAGAGTGGGACTCTGTCTCAAAAAAAGAAGAAGAGATGAAAACACATGTGCACAAGGTTATTCCTTGGGACACTGTTTGCTGTAATGTCTCCAGCCTACATGCTCACTCACATCTAGGAGAGTACTTAAACTATGCTACACCCATACAGTGGAGGACTATGCAGCTATAAAACACAATGAGGAAAAGACCCCTAGGATGTGAAGTCCTCCACTCTCTGCTTGTAGATTTCGGATGCTTTCTTCAGGATCGTTTCCATTTGACACTTCTCTTGCATCTTTCTAAGGCCATCTGGGCTGGGGTCCACTTGACCAGACTGTGTCCCTTCTCCCCCTTGTTCTTTTTGCTCATTGCCATGGCTTTCAGGAATTTTGCCTTGTCTTTGTCCTTTTCTTCTTCTGCTTGATCACGCTGAGCTCTGCAATGCCTTTCAGCTAAAGGGGTCCCTTCTGGACCTGCTTATAGGCTGTCATGGGACCGCCCCCCCCACCCCGCCCCACCCCACAGTTTGGTAGATAGACTGCCTTGATTATTTAATGATCAAATTGTCCCAGATTTCGCTATTGGAAGCCCCTTTAAGTTGACTCCTGTTGTCTATTGATATGTCCCATTATTCTTTGAATGACTTTTTTTTTTGAGATGGAGTCTCCCTCTGTCGCCAGCCTGGAGTGCAGTGGTGTGACCTCAGCTCACTGCAACCTCTGCCTCCTAGGTTCAAGCTATCCTCCTGCCTCAGCCTCCTGAGTAGCTGGGATTACAGGCATGTGACACCCCACCTGGCTAATTTTTGTATTTTTAGTAGAGACGGGGTTTCACCATGTTGATCAGGCTGGTCTTGATCTCCTGGCCTCAAGTGACTGGCCTGTCTCGACCTTCCAAAGTGCTGGGATTAAGGCGTGGGCAGTGAGACAACACAGCCTAGGTAGCAGAACACCACCTAAGGCAGGAATGGAACATACACCTTGTCCCTTTCTGAGCCCCTTCCCCCAAAACCCCACTTACAGACACTTCTAATGTGTATTGCCGGGGCAGGTATTTCTAATCAATCATGGTTTTCTTTGTAAAGGAACCCAGACACAGTCTGCCTCATAACCCTCACCTCTGGGCTCCAAGCAGCCTCTTGTATTTACTCAGAGTTAGCACATCACCTGGAGCCTACTTGGCATTCCAGCCTTAAGGACACCTCAGGGGTGACAGGACCAAGGCAGAGCCCCAGTGTAAGCAGACATGGGTGCAGTCAAATGGGAGGGTCCAGATACCAGTGCTGATGGGCCAGGGTCTTCAACGGCCTACTTGACCTAGATGAGAATCAAACGACATGTGCTACTGGGAGAAACTGTCTCTGCTGATATAGATATTGAATGAATAACAAAGGCAGAAGAGAAAAATCAAGTATGGAGTTTGAAGTTGGCCTATGTAAACTACAGAATAAAGCAAAAACCAGTTATTTAAAAATATAATAAAATATAAATAAATAATCAGTGATGGATTATAAGCCACTGAATAAAATAGGAATGCAAGAATCCAAACTGATAAACGATTAAATAGAGAAGAAAGAAAAGCTATTCCTCATTAGAACGCCTACTAATAAATGGTTTTTTGTTTGTTTTCGAGATGGAGTTTCCCTCTGTCACCCAGACTGAGTGCAGTGGCACAATCTTGGTTCATTACAACCTCCACCTCCTGAGTTCAAGCGATTCTCCTGCCTCAGCCTCCCCAAGTAGCTGGGACTACAGGCATGCACCACCATGCCCAGCTAATTTTTTTTGTATTTTTAGTAGAGATGAGGTTTCACCATGCTAGCCAGGCTGGTCTTGAACTCTTGACTTCAGGTGATCCATCCACCTTGGCTTCCCAAAGAGGTGGGATTACAGGCATGAGCCACCATGCCCGGCTAGAAGTGTTTTTTTTTTTTAAGTGATATATTTAGGAAAAACAGTATTTAACAAACTAAAATTAATGGATTCAAGCAAGGATCATCAACGGACACTGAAATTAATGGTTAAAAGTCTGACAAATAACAGGATATTTGTGTAATATTAAAGTACCTATTCAGAAACTACTTATTAATTAAAAGCGGGAGAAAAAAGTGACCACAGTGGAGAACCAGGCAGACACCACGTTAATCCACATGATCAAACCAGTGGTGTGCTAGAGCCCACTCCTACCAACCCAGGAAAGGGACATTTCCCAACCTTGTGTTCCATGAAGACAGACCCTATTTAGAAACTGGCCATGGTGGGAATATTTACAACACAGAATGGGGCAATGGCAAATGCCACAGAACAGGGCAATATCTCCCCCTCCAGAGCCAACTGAGTTGTTACACATTTATCAGCACCACACTGGATCAAAGTTAACCACCACCAGGCAATTCAACTTTCTGTGCCTCCTGACACTTCACACTAAGAAGAGCACAACATCATTTTTGTCGTATTCTGCCCAAAATGTATGACCTCAATCTAGTGAGAAAACACAGAGGGGAGTGGGGGAACACGGGACTAGATTGAGAGGCATCCTACAAAATAACTGGCAAAACATCAAGGTCGGCTGGGCACGGTGGCTCACGCCTGTAATCCCAGCACTTTGGGAGGCCAAGGTAGGTGGATCACCTGAGATCAGGAATTTGAGACCAGCCTGACCAACATGGTGAAACCCCATCTCTACTAAAAATACAAAAAAATTAGCTGGGCGTGGTGTCGCGCCTCTGTAGTCCTAGCTACTCCGGAGGCTGAGGCAGAATTGCTTGAATCCAGGAGATGGAAGTTGCAGTGAGCCGAGACTGAGCCATTACACTCCAACCTGAGCAACAAGAGCGAAACTCCGTCTCAAAAAAAAAAAAAAAAAAGAAAAGAAAAGAAAATCAAGGTCAAGAAAGACAAAGATGATTAAGAAGGTGTTTCAGACTAAAGGAGACTAAAGAGACAGGACAGCTAAATGCAATATATGATCCTAATCGGATGCTAGATCAGAAAAAATTTTTTTTTTTTGCTATTAAGGACATTATTGGAACAACTGGTGAATATGAATAAAATCTTTAGATTGAAAAACAGAATTATATCAATGTTAAATTTCCGATTTTGAACACCATATTATGGTTATATAATAAAAGAATGCCCCAAATGCATACAAAAGTATGTGGAAGGCCTAAGTCTGCTACTGTCAGGTGGTTCGCCAAAAATATTTTTTAAAGAAAGAAACATGTTAATAAAGGAAAATGCGGGTACCAGACACACAGTTCTTTGTACTATTCTGGGGACTTTTCTGTAAGTCTGAAATTATTTAAACATGAAGTTACAAGGGAAGAGCCATGAACGCTACCTGATCCTCCGCCCTCATCTCTAGGTCCACCTGGCTGCAGTCGGAGGGAAGCAGCGAGCAAGGCGTTCTCCGAGGTCTCAAGGGGCCCCAAGGCTACGCGGTCAGAACAGAAGCGAAAGCCACGTCCACCACCGACCCACCTCGAGAGCCACAGCCCCACTCAGGTCTCACGCGCAGGCGCAGGGACTGGCCACAGGTGCTGCGACGTCACGTCTTTCCCCTGGGGGCGTGTGCAGCTCGAGGCTTTGCAGGAGGCGCACCTGCGATGGCCCCACCGCCAGGTGAGCCCAGAGGGCTCTCATCGCTTCAGCTGGAGATTCCAACTGCAGGGCGGGCACCTCCTCTGCCTAAGGCATGTTTCTGAAGGATGGCAAGAATCCTGGCCTCTGATGGCTATCTTCTCCCCTTCCCCTCCAAGCCCAGTGTTGTGACCCTGTGCCCTCTCTCCCCTCAATTTTGGGCCCAGGAGTCAGGTACTAAGACTCAGTCACGGAGAGAAGTCAGGAGCTCCCTTGTGAAGGCAGACTTTAGCAAATGCATCTTCTTCCAAAGCCTTAGTGTTTTTCTTAATGTTGGCTTCGAAAGCCTAGTCTGTGGCCCAGGCTGCTACTGGTGAGCTTCTGGCAGGGTGCTGGAAATCTTGGCCAATACCAGCCGACCACTCCCCCAGCCCCCTGGGGCGTGTTTCTGGGCTTTCCCATTATCAATTAGTTGGAAATTGCACATCATTGTGTCCTGGCCTGACAACAAACACCTGTTCTGATCTACAGCCTCTTGCTGAAGGAACACCAGGAGACAGACAGCAGGTGGTGGGGTACGCTACAGGTATTGCGCTTCTTAAGCTTTTGTTTTCTGATGAAGCCTCATTCATAGGATGAAGCCGCTGTATCTGAATTCTGGGGTGAACACAATAAGTTGCACAGGGAACAGACTCAGGTGCTGCTAAATCTGTTGTGATCATAGTTGCTTTTGCAAGTTTCTTCGTTCATCTTATGTAGACAAGCCAGGCTAGACAAGGAATCCGTTGTCTAGCATAGCAACTGGCACACAGTAGGTGCTTGGTAAGTATCTGAATGACTTTATAATGCCCTGCACATTCTGCAGAGTTGGAGTGATCATTCTGCCGATACTGGTAAATCTGGAAGTATTTTTGCCTATGTTGGCACTGCCATACTTCTTTAAAATGATACTTTAAAAAGAAACTGTTCTTCAAATACAGTGCTTGTGGAAGAAGTCCTGAGGTTCCCAGTGATCTCAAATGCTGAGCAGTGGAAAGGACACTGAATAACAGAATTATGATCTGTGTTTTTACTCTGTATTCATGAAATCTGATTATCATTTCCTCTCTCTATGTATTTTTTTCTTATCCCCTTCCCCTGCAAAATGAAAAAATTCTGTAGTGAAAAGTGTGAAGGAAAGACAATTGTTTATTTCAGTTGAGCAGATAGGCTTATCAAACAAATGAAGACAAAAAAAACACATAATCAAGGGTATGATGGGAGATGAAAAACAAATTATTTTTAATGATTCATGGCAACCACATTTATATCCCATTGTTACTAGAGAAGAAAATGTCTTCAGATAATCAGTGGTCAGCAGAAGAGGATGAAGGCCAATTATCCCGACTAATCAGGAAATCTAGAGACTCCCCCTTTGTCCCTGTAGGTAAGTACAAGCCTTGACTGGATGCGGAAAACTGTAGTAACACAATGATGCCTTACCCAGTGCCATTGAGGATTGAAATGTTTCTTATAATTGAATTTTTTCAGATAATTGAAGCTAACCTCCTTTAGGCATGTGTTGAACTTTCAGAATAGTTCCTAGCACATGGTAAGCCCCCAGTAAATGTTAGCTGTTATTTGAGGCATCAAATTTTATTCTATTTTATCCATTTTGTTAGAAGTCTACCTAAAAGTATTAGTTCCTAGCCAGTCAGATGGAATAGATTGAATGAATATTAACATTTCAGCCATAACTCAGGACCATCAACAGCAGCATCAGTTTATTATATTTAAAGCCTATTAGGGACTATTGAGATGCATATGTCTCTTTGTCTTGTAAGTAATCTAAACTTAAAGTTCTTACGTCTTCTGTTTATAGATTTTTCTGTTTCTTTCTTACTACTGGGCACATTAAAAACTTCTGCTTCCAGGCCGAGCGTGGTGGCTCACACCTGTAATCCCAGCACTTTGGGAGGCCGAGGTGGGAAGATTGCTTGAGCTCAGGAGGTGCAGGTTGCAGTGAGCCAAGATCACACCACTGCACTTCAGCCTGGGTGACATAGTGAGACCCTTTCTCAAAAACAGCAAATAAACAAACAAACAAAAAACCAAAAACTTCTGCATCTAATGTTTTTAATGTTCTGTGACACCAGAAGTTAGATACCGAAGCTTGAAAGAAGTGTGAGTCAATTCAGAGGAAAGCTCTGAGTAAAAGCCTGGACCTATCTGAACACTTGTGAGCATGAACTTTGGGGTGGTCATTTTGGCTGCTCAGTGGCCGTCTGTGTTGGCTTCCTGGTGTGCTCCAGATGTTGAGTTTGATGGCAAAATAAATTCTGGACTAAAGAAGTGATACTATAATTAGGCTGGGCACAGTGGCTCACGCCTGTAATCCCAGCACTTTGAGAGGCCAAGGCAGGTGAATCACTTGAGGTCAGGAATTCAAGACCAGCCTGGCCAACATGGTGAAACCCCATCTCTACTAAAAATACAAGGGATTGGCTGGGCGTTGTGGCACGCACCCGTAACCCCAGCTACTCAGGAGGCTGAGGCACCAGAATCACTTGAACCCGGGAGGCGGAGGTTGGGCTCAGAGCAAGACTCCATCTCAAAAAATAAAAAAGAGAGATACTATGATTAGATCACCTAGTGATCTGGACCCTTAGCTGTTTATCTTTTCCCCACACATATTTAGTATGTTTACATTTTCAACAAGTATTATGTGTATGTGGACTTAAAAAAACCCACAAAACCTAAGCACCAATATTATGTTTTAAAGTCTGAGTTTTCTCTTTCTTCTCCATGGATGTATACTGCAGCCATACCTGTTTCCTTGTGTTCATTTTGTCTGGAAACTATTAAAATAATTTACTTAAATCTGACTGACATAAGTTTGCAAAAATATTAATTCCATTAAAATGTCTAAATAGGTACGTCAGATGTTCCCATTGTTACCGTGACTCTAGCAACTTCCTGTCATTATTTACATATCAAGAAAGAATCAAATTTTACTTTACAGTAATATTCTGTTTAGAAGTTTCATTTAAGACTTGTAATAGCACCCATAAGAAATGGAAGCAAACAATTTAATAGTGATTTATCTTCCTTAGCATTTTTAACTTAAAAAAATTCAAAAACTCAATGCTACTTGAACAGATCACTCTAATGAACAGAGATTAATTAATGAACAGAGACAAAGAGACATATGCACCACTGTGCCTGTTGTACATTAAATTATTTTTCCAGAGACATTTAGGTGATTAAAGTGGAAAGATAAAAGTGTTTCCAGTTAAATTCAATTACAAACAAACTAGAGACACTATATGCAAAACAGTAAAGGTCCTGACTTTAATCTCTAAAAGAAACAAAACCAATTTAAGTAAGAACAGAACTTTCATTTGATTAAGGGAAGAGAGTCAAGTTTTTGCTAAAAAATAAATAATGATAAAATTTGGTAGGCTGGTCACGATGGCTCACGCCTGTAATCCCAACACTTTGGTAGGCCAAGGTGGGTGGATCGCTTAAAATCAGGAGTTTGAGACCAGCCTGGCCAATGTGGTGAAACCCTGTCTCTACTAAAAATACAAAAATTAGCTGGGCGTGGTGGCGGGCGCCTGTAGTCCCAGCTCCTCAGGAGGCTGAAGCAGGAGAATCACTTGAACTCAGGAGGTGAAGGTTGCAGTGAGCCAAGATCGCGCCACTGCACTCCAGCCTGGCAACAGAGTGAGACTCTATCTTAGAAAAAAAAAAATTGGATATATATCATTGAATAATTTGTTTAGCTGTTGTCATTTTAACACTATCTACTATGTGTATTTCCCTGCTACAGGATGGAGGGTCCTATGCAGGTAATTTATAAAACATTTTTTATTGGTTATCTTAAGCAACTTCCATCATTATAAACACATTTGCATTGTTCAAAATCATCTTACAATCACTGTTAAGGTCTCTGCATGCATTATATCTATTTAAAGTATGTGTTGACAGATTATTTGGCTTTGCTTGTTTCACCTAACATATGTACATTTCTGTTTTAATACTCCCTACTCTTATTTATTTTTATAGCAATGGCAGTTTTTCTTCTGTTTGGGCCATTTGGGTTATTTGGATTTTCCTCAAACATAGTGTAACCCTGAACATCTTTGTGTCATTTTCTTGATTTTTCTTTTGATTACTTCCTTGGAGTATGTTCCCAGAAGTAGAATTTCCAGAGCAGGAAGCATGTTCAGTTTAATATCATTTGTTATATATTTCCAGAGTTCTTTCCAGAAGGACTTGGCTGAACTGACAGAGTTTTCAGGGTTTTACCTGTTTCCTCATGTGTCTACCATCATCAATTTTTTTTTTTTTTTTTTTTGCTGTTTTTATGTCTGTAGCACATTAGTCATTTTTATTCCATTTATTGTGAATCAGCCTATAATGTAATGATTTACTGATTCTTATTTCCATTTATTAAATGGATCATGAAAGAAGAAATATATCCTTACCCACCCATAGACACGCATATGCCAACATAGTTATTCCAAACATGCTATCCACATAAAAATTACTTGCTTTTTTTTTTTTTTTTTTTTTTTTTTTTAAGACACAGTTTCCCTCTGCCGCCCAGGCTGGAGTGCAATGGCGCAATCCTGGCTCACTGCAACCTCCACCTCCTGGTCTCAAGTGATTCTCGTGCTTCAGCTTCCTAAGTAGGCATGCACCACCATGCCTGGCTAATTTTTGTATTTTTAATAGAGACAGGGTTTTACCATGTTGACCAAGGTGGTCTCAAACTCCTGACGTCAAGTGATCCACCAGTCTCAGCCTCCCAAAGTTCTGGGATTACAGGAATAAGCCACCATGCCCAGCCTGCATTTCTTTTTTTAATTGATCCTTACATTTAGATTAAAATTTGCGTTTCTATTTACTAACAACAAGCATATGGAAACTGAAACTAAAAACATAATGCCGACCAGGCGTGGTGGCACTCGCCTATAATCCCAGCACTTTGAGAGGCCAAGGTGGGCAACCACCTGAGGTCAGGAGTTCGAGACCAGCCTGGCCAACATGGCAAAACCCCGTGTCTACTAAAAATACAAAAATTATCCAGGCGTGGTGGCACACACCTGTAATCCCAGCTACTCAAGAGGCTGAGACAGGAGAATCGCTAGAACCTTGGAGGTGGGAGTTGCAGTGAGCCAAGACCACGCCACTGCACTCCAGCCTGGGCAAAAGAGTGAGACTCTGTTTCAAGAAAAAAAAAATGGAGAGACCACTGTGTTCATGAATTGGAGGGGTGTGTGTGTATGTGTGTGTGTGTGTGTGTGTAGTAGAGGCAGGGTTTTACCATTTTGGCCAGGCTGGTCCCGAACTCCTGACCTCAAGTGATACTCCTGCCTTGCCCTACCAAAGTGCTGGCATTACAGGCATGAACTACCGCGCCTGACCCTGTGTTCATGAATTGGAAAGCACAGTATATTATTAAAGACGTCAATTCTCCCCAAGTTTACCTTTAGGCTTAATGTAGTTCCTGTCAAAACCCCAGCAAGGTTTTTGGTAGACATAGACAAACTTATTCTAAATCTTATATGGAAAGGCACAAGTCCTAGAAAAGCTAAAATAATCCTTTTTGAAAAAAGATAAAGTGGAAAGAATCACTCTGGCTGATACTAAGGCTGACCATATCGCTACAGTAATCAACACAGTGTGGTACTGCTGGAAGGTCAGATGTATAGATCAATGGGAAAGAACAGAGAACCCAAAAAAATAGGCCGGGCACAGTGGCTTATGCCTGTAATCCCAGCACTGCAGGAGGCTGTGGTAGGCGGATCACTTGGGGCCAGGAGTTCAAGGCCAGCCTGACCAACATAGCGAGACATCATCTCTACTGAAAATACAAAAGTTGGCCAGGTGTGGTGGTGCACGCCTGTAATCCCAGCTACTAGGGAGGCTGAGGCATGAGAATCACTAGAACCCACGAGGCAGAAGTTGCAGTGAGCTGAGATCGCACCACTGCACTCCAGCCTAGGTGACAGAGCAAGACTCTGTCTCAAAAGAAAAACAAACAAAAAAAAGACACACACTTTTACTGTGCAAATGTTTTCTCACTGTGTATTTTGTCTTTGTCATATTCTATCACCTCTACCATATCCTCTTTTTTCTTTCTTTTCTTGAGACAGAGTTTTGCTCTTGTTGTGCAGGCTAGACTGCAATGGTGCAATCTCGGCTCACCACAACCTCCACCTCCCAGGTTCAAGCGATTCTCCTGCCTCAGCCTCCTGAGTAGCTGGGATTACAGGCATGCGCCACCACGCCTGGCTAATTTTGTATTTTTCGTAGAGACAGGGTTTCTCCATATTGGTCAGGCTGGTCTCCAACTCCTGACCTCAGGTGATCCACCTGTCTCGGCCTCCCAAAGTGCTGGGATTACAGGCGTGAGCCACTGCGCCCGGCCCCATATCCTCTTATAGATGTTATAAATACACCATTCTATTTTCTTCAGTTTTTGTTGTTGTATTTTTATTTTGTTTTGCATTTAACTCTTACTTATCCAAAAATTGTTTTCAGGGTCTAGTGAGAAATACAAATCCAAGTTAGTTCTTCTCTATACCAATAAGTTGTACTTATGGCATTTATTAAATTATTCCAGTATCCGGGTTTTTTGTTATTGTTGCTTTGTTTTTTATTTTGAAATGAAGTCTTGCTCTGTCACTCAGGCTGGAGTGCAGTGGTGCCATCTCAGTTCACTGCAACCTCCGCCTCCCGGGTTCCAGTGATTCCCCTGCCTCAGCCTCCCAAGTAGCTGGGATTACAGGCACGCACCATCATGCCTCACTAATTTTTTGTATTTTTAGTAGAGATGGGGTTTCACCGTGTTGGCCAGGCTGGTCTTGAACTCCTGACCTCAAGTGGTCCACCTGCCTCAGCCTCCCAAAGTGCTGGGATTACAGGCGTGAGCCACCATACCTGGCCCAGTATCTGTTATCTGGCTATTTTTGTTTTGTCATGCATTAAGTTCTCAGTGTTTTAAATCTTTTTCTAGAATCTTTCCTATTTAGTTGACGAGTTCTTTGTTTCAGCACCAGTTACATAGAATCTTAGTTGTCACAGCAGTATATTCACCCCTTGACATTCGTAGGAAATGCAGAAATATTTGTATGGGCTTCTGAACTTTTCTACAATCACAGTTCTTGCCAGAATTATGCTTCTCGCGCATATATTCATACCTTTTCATCTCTCACTAAAGTTTATGGTTTCACTTTGTAAAGAAGAACAAATTTTTTCTCACTCTACTGGGTTTACTCCTTATTTGGTTACAGGAAGAGACGAGTCAAGCCAAACACTCAAAAGCTGTGGGCACTGAGATGTTGGGTTAGTTCACTTACTGGCTAAGTGACTTGCCACAGATAATGACATTGTAGCATGCACAGTTTGAAATCATTCCTCAGGAAATTACAAATGACTAGACAAGTTATTACACTGTATGGTTCTAATTTTCCTGGGAAGAGTCAAAACTGCAAATATTGGACCCAAGAATATTAAGGGCTCATTTTACAGTCTGGTAGATCAAATCCAGCTTGGTTCTTTGAAAAATGTTCTTTGCTGAGGTCTTTCCTGCTTATCTTCCAGGTTCTTATCCTGTAGACATTCTTTCATTTAACTCTCTAAGCACTTGAAAATTCTTGCCTGCCGTGTACTTAACCCATACATTTTTTTTTTTCTAGAGACAGGGTCTCACTCTGTCACCCAGGCTGGAGTGCAGTGGTGCAATCATAGCTTACTGACGCCTTGAACTCCTGGGCTCAAGGGATCCTCCTGCCTCAGTCTCCTGAGTAGCTGGGACTACAGATGTGTATCATCATGTGTGGCTGATTTTTAATTTTTTGTAGAGATGGGGTCTTGCTATGTTGCCCAGGCTGTTTTCAAACTCCTGGTCTCACACGATGCTCCTGCCCCAGCCTTCCAAATAACCCATACTTTTAAAATTCACAGGTATAGCAGGCTTTGTGTCTGTGGTGTCCTATGGTCTTTACAAGTTAAAGTACAGAAGAGATCAGAAAGTGTCAATTCATCTTATTCACATGAGAGTTGCTGCCCAAGGATTTGTTGTCGGAGCTGTGACTCTAGGTAACCTGCTTAATTTGTATCTTATGTTCAGCTGTCTTTGAGAGTATATTTATTTTATTCATTCACAATAGAAGATGAATATTGGGTCACAATGATATAATGAGAGAGGGGTAGGAAAGACTCATCTTCCCTTAGTTGAGGTTGTGGTCCAGTTGTGAGCTTAATTTTTTATGATTGCCGCTGACAAAAACTGACAAAACCCATGGTAAACAACTAGGGCAATGGGCTGTTCTTCTCTTCAGTGAAGGGAGTGGTGAATAGTTCCTATCCTATAACTCAAGAGCAGCAGTTCCAGATAGATCACAGCCTATATTGTGGCCGTGAGCCCCATCTCATGGCTAAGAGCAGCGATCATATTTCCCAGCCTATCTGAACAGCAAATGTAGTTATTAGTTTAACTAGGAAGAAGACATTTTTAGAGCCCACAAATCTCAACTGCCTTCTTCTCTCCTTCCAAGTTTCAGCAATAGGCAAATCTATTTTTATTAGTCCATAAATTAAGCAAGACCTACAAGTCAAATCCAAAGAAAAGGTATAAAATTGTCTTCATTAATTCAGGTTATACCCACAGCTAAATCAGATAGTTCTAACAAGAAGTCCATTTTAGGACCTAAAGTAATCTAAATTTGTTTGTTCTACATTAATGAGAACAGGTCACAATATTCTTAGGTGCCCTTCATGCTGTGCAGAGTAGAGTCATCCTGCCTAGGTTGGAGATGATAGAATGATGGGCATGGGGCTTGCAAGGAAAGTTATATGGTAATAATCTTATTACTGTGAGCCGTAATGTGCTCCAAATACAGGAAGCCTTACTGCAAAGTTACAGTCCTCCTTTTCATCATTCAGCAAACATTTATTGAATGCCTGCTATGTGCCAGACACTGTTTAGAAATATGACTCAGTCCCTACCCTTAAACAGTTTAGTCTCCTTAGAAAGACAGACCAAGAAAGAAAGAAGACAATATCAAGTTATAGATGCCGTAACAGAAATAGCACAGGCTGGCCAGGCGCGGTGGCTCACACCCGTGATCCCACCACTTTGGGAGGCCGAGGCGGGTGGATCACCTGAGGTAAGGAGTTTGATACCAGCCTGGCCGACATGGCGAAACCCTGTCTCTACTAAAAAAAAATACACACACACGCACAAATAGCTGGGTGTGGTGGCACATGCCTGCAATCCCAGCTACTTGGGAGGCTGAGACAGGAGAATCGCCTGAATCTGGGAGACGGAGTTTGCAGTGAGCTGAGATCATGCCATTGCATTCCAGCCTGGACAACAAGAGTGAAACTCCATCTAAAAAAAAGCCAGGCGCGGTGGCTTATGTCTGTAATCCCAACACTTTGGAAGGCCAAGGCAGGAGGATCACTTGAGGTCAGGAGTTCGAGACCAGCCTGGCCAACATGGTGAAATCTCATCTTTACTAAAAATACAAAAATTAGCCAGGTGTGATGGTGGGTGCCTGTAGTTGCAGCTACTTGGGAGGCTGAGGCAGGAAAATCACTTGAACCCGGGAGGCAGAGGTTGCAGTGAGTCGAGATCATGCCACTGCATTCCAGCCTGGGCGTCAGAGCAAGACTTCATCTCAAAAAAAGAAAAAAAAAAATAGGACAGGTTGCTATGGAAGCACAAACACAAGGGAGTGGTATTTAACTAGGGCTGGGAGGCCAGAGGAGGCTTCTCTAAGGATGTAAACCATGTACTGAACCAAGAATAAGGAGGAATTAACTAAGCAGAGAAGGACCTCAGGATTCTAGGCAGAGGAAAAAAAAAAAAGGCACAGAGGCCGGGCACGGTGGCTCATGTCTGTAATCCCAGCACTTTGGGAAGCCGAGACGGGCGGATCACGAGGTCAGGAGATCGAGACCATCCTGGTGAAACACGGTGAAACCCCATCTCTACTAAAAAATACAAAAA